ATTTCAAAACCTCCTATGAGATTTTTAGTAATTTCATTGAGCTTTCCTAAAGTTTGAAAAATTACACTTTCCTGTCTTGATTTGCCAAAACTTTAAAATAATATTAACTTGATCAAATTTTTAAATGAATACCCAAAAATACTCTTGTGTAATGAGTTTTAATTTATTTTTCTATATAATTATAAGATTATTTTGTATAATTATAAGGCAGATGTGACAAAATTTTTATGTCCATATCTACTATTTGATAAACAATTATAATAATAATTTTGTTACTATGATATGATATTTTTATGGTATTTTATTATGAATTTAGATTTATAAGATAAAAAAGAAAATGTTGAAATAATTCATTTAGAATTTATGAATTTTTTGAGTAGTGGAATTATCATAATTTTTTGACATTTGGTTATAATAAAAACTAGAGACAATAGTGGTAGTTCTATAATTTTATTATCAAAAAATTAAAAAAAGGAATAAGGAGGAAAAGAATGAAAAAATAATTTTAAAATTCATTCTAAGTATAAGCATGCCAAATAAGGGAATTTCATTAAAATATTTAAGGATAAAATTACCATTTTAAATAACAAGGGAGGTAAGTGTAATTTTTCAAATTTCAGGAGAGCTCAATGAAATTATCAGAAATCTCTTTTCTGAAATTATCCCTTTTTTCATATCCGTTTCTATTACAACTCAACTCTTTCGAGGCAGACATTTTTACTCAATTCTAAACAATCTATTGACAATTAGTAGCAATAATTCGAGGAACAATTTTTTCTATTCGGAGGTTTGATTACAAAGTAGAACTTGGTAAAATATACAGCATGTATATGTGTGTGTACGCGCATCCGGTCGCAAAAAAATGAGAGTGTTTGGATAGTGAAATTATCTCAAATAATATTTCGTTTGTATCATAAACACATTTTTTAATCACCTTTTTATCTCATATACATCACATCACAAAAAGTGCTACAGTAATTATTTCAAATAAAACTCTATACAAGTAGCACGTAAAATCAATGCGTCTTCTCGGGAAAGATCAAGAAACTGGTGCTGCAAGAACGAATGCCTCTTTGACGAAGCACGAAAGTGGGCCTTGGAAATCCCACAGAATAATTCTATATATGGCAGATCAGTTTAATTAATTAACCATGCTCGTGTTTGTTTCTTGGTTGCAAATTTGCGGTGGAATATGATGGCATGTTTTGAGTGGCAACCTAAACGAATATGTGCTCTCTATCTTAGGAATTCTATTGATTTGGTGTGTGTGAGTTCCAAGTATAGACAACATCCTACTGAAGATCATTTAATTTCATCCGACGCACACACGGCAAATTAAGGATGATTTAGTTTTTTTTTTTTTTTTAAAAAAAAGCCTTAATTTGTAGTCCAGCAACGAAGTTTAAACGAGCATTGTAGTATTGTCAGATCTGTGAACAATATTAGAGTATTGTCAGATCTGAAATACTGCAGCAGAACACACACACACACAAGGCATCAATCAAATTGTTATCCGACAATAATACGCATTGTGACAAGATTTGAGAATAAGTTAATGCGTCTAGTATCTGCAGCGATGTGTGTTGAGCCCCCTATGTGGGAGCCACGGTTGTTTACATGGAACTTTGATTGCCGCACTGCCCTCTGACAAGGAATCGATCCACAAGCCATTAAGAGAAACCCAAGACGAGAAGAAGCAAGACAAAAAGATATTTTGGTTTTCTTATAAACGTTACTGGAAGGCCTTTATATAAGCTCGAAGGCCTTGGGAGCTCTTATAACATACATTCAACAGCAAAGTGTTGTTTTTCTCAGCATATAGAGAGAACAGTGCGTCCTTGCTGTTTGTTTCTAGCTCCAGCTAGCTATCTAACTGACGCCCCAAATTTGAATAGATAGGATATTTATCATTTATGGTGATGGACGGCAAGAAATTAGAGTACAAGGGCGAGAAGGCATTGAAGGAGCTGGAGAAGCTCACAGCAAATGCAGCTGAGGTTCAGGAGGAGGTCTTGAAGATGATCCTGACGCAGAATAAGGGGACTGAGTACCTGAACAAGTACATGGCGGGAGTGGAATCAAAATCACAGGTACCACATTTCAAGCGTTGCGTGCCGGTGACAACGTACAAGGATGTCCGTCCCTACATCCAGAGAATTGCCAATGGAGACAACTCCAATCTCATTACCTCTCAACCTGTAACCGAGATGCTATGCAGGTCTCTCTCTTCTCTATATCCACTCTCCATACGTACATGTGTGTAGTCGCTTTTCATGCATAATACGACTACACTTTCTTACACTTTAATCTAATTAATTTGCAGCTCAGGCACGTCCGCTGGAGAGCCAAAGTTGATGCCATCAATTGAAGAAGATCTTGACCGACGAACCTTTCTTTATAATCTCATCATGCCAATAATCAACCAGTTAGATACCATTCACATTATCACTGTGTCCTCCTTTCCTTCTTCATGTACTTGGATATATGATCTCTCCTAAGTGATGATAGTAAATATTTGCCGGTATCAAAGGAAAGGGCAAAAAGTCGACTCTTTATGAATTTTCAGATTCCACAGTATTTTCCACAAATTTTTTCCACGGAACTGTCCCGCGTAATATATTGGCTAATCTTTCCATCCAATGATTGTGCAGAAACCCACGACAATGACCACTCAAAATTTCTTCGAGACCATGACTTGTAGTATAGTACATTAAGTCAGCGTTTTCCTGAATTATTTATACCATGTAAATAATTTACAACGTTTATTGGAGCGTCCTTCATTGATGCATTAGATCTTTAATTGATGCCTAGGTACGTTGGTGGGCTTGATGAAGGTAAAGCCATGTTCCTGTATTTCGTCAAGGCAGAAATGTCTACTCCTTGTGGCTTACCAGCTCGCACGGTCCTGACCAGTTTTTACAAGAGCCAGCATTTCAAGAACCGTTCCCACGATCCCTACAACGATTTCACCAGCCCCGATCAAACCATCCTCTGCTACGACAGCAACCAAAGCATGTACTGCCAGTTACTGGCCGGCCTGGTCTTCCGCCACCAAGTCCTCCGCCTGGGCGCCGTATTTGCATCTGCGTTCCTACGTGCCATCTCCTTCCTCGAACGCAACTGGCGGAAATTGTGCCAAGATATCCGCACCGGAAAACTGGATCATGCCATGATCACCGACGCCCAGTGTCAATCCGCAATGTACTCTAGCGTTCTGTTACGGCCTCAGCCGCTGGTGGCTGATGAGATTGAGAGCATTTGCAGCAGTAAGTCGTGGAAGGGAATAGTGCGTCGCCTTTGGCCTAAGGCCAAGTACATTGAGGCTGTGATCACGGGGTCCATGTCGCAGTACATACCATCGCTGGAATACTATAGCGATGGCAAATTACCCCTGGTATGCACCATGTATGCTTCGTCGGAGTGCTACTTCGGAGTAAATTTGAAACCCTTTTGCAAGCCTGCTGATGTTTCCTTCACCCTGTTGCCTAACATGGGTCACTTTGAGTTCATTCCCTTGGGAGAGAGTGCAACATGGTCGATAGACCTGGATGAAGAAGAAGAAGAAGAAGAAGAAGTTCCCCCCAATAAGCTTGTTGACCTGGTGCACGTCAGAGTCGGTTGCTACTACGAATTGGTGGTCACCACATTCGCCGGTTAGCATTCCGTAATTCAATCTCAACTCTTACTTGTTGCATATACGACGCTCGTGCTCCAGGGGATTGATAAGAGAGATTTCAGATTTGAGATGATGATATGTTGCTTGAGTGAATCCGAAACCCACGCTGATTTTTGAATCATTAAAATCGAGTAGATTTTAAATCTAATTTCATCCCTGCGTTGCCCAAACAACCACTAACAGGATAAGGGGAATACGAGAAAATAGACTTGTGATTCTAATTTGAAGTAATCTACAGTTAATAGATAGATTAAGGGGAAGGAAAGAGTGGGGGGCTCATATGATTTTTGGTTGGTGAAATGAAACAGGATTATATCGGTATCGCATCGGTGACGTGCTCCAAGTGACCGGATTTCACAATCAAGCCCCACAATTCAGATTCATCTGTCGGAGAAACGTCGTCCTCAGCGTCGACAATGACAAAACCAACGAAGAGGACTTGCACAAGAGCATCACCGCCGCCAAAAAGCTTCTGGAGCCCTACAATGCTTTACTAGTGGAATACACCAGCTGTGCCGATGCTTCAACCGTACCAGGCCACTACGTCATTTACTGGGAGATCGCCTACAACAATGGATTGGTGGACGAAGCTTTTGCCATCGATCCAACCGTGCTTCAAGAATGTTGCGCCGCCGTGGAGGAACGGCTTGATTACACCTACAGGAGATGCCGCACCCTTGACAAGTCCGTCGGACCGCTGGAAATACGAATCGTCGAGGCCGGAACTTTTGAGTCGTTGATGGACTTTTTCATCAATCAAGGGGCGTCCATCAATCAGTATAAAACTCCGAGGTGTATCAAATCTAAAGCTGCCCTCAAACTCCTTAACTCCAATGTCAAGGCTTCCTCTTTTAGCTCCAGGGATCCTTGCTGGAACCCTTGACGGCTTCATCTAACATCCATCTTACTGCAGCCTGCGCCTCGCCAAATAACTCTTTCTTTTTGTTTTCCCTGGCGTTTTCCGTGATAGGATGACGACTTTGAGAGGTTTGCTGACTTGCCAGCTGAATTGTACAACGAGCCCCATTTTAACCCTTTCCACCCCTTAATTTTTATGAAAATAATGGAGAATTTCGGTTTCCCTAATAAATCCCCCGGAATATGACATTGCAAGTTATAGCAACCAATTCTTGCTGCTGAGCATGCTGGTGCGGTAGTCTGACCCAAGTTATCGATCCTAAAAAGCCAAATGCAGCAATCTTGGCGTGCACTGATGGATCTTTGCGTCTCCTCCTCAAGGCAACTATTCCTAATCCACAACCCCTATAAGCCGCCCCATTAACCCATTAACTCAAAACAGAGCCTAGGAAAAAACAAAAACTCTACTCAGTGATTTCCCTGATTATTATTACAAACAACTAAATTCAGTCAGCAGGATGAACCAAACCACAGTATGCGAACGTGGCAATATTTATGAGATTAATAAAGCTCAAGTAATGCGAAACAAGAGAACTGCTTCTACTTTTTCCTGAGATCGATTTTGAACAGTATAGATAGATTCTCGTGAAAACATAGGAAAACGTTAAAGTACACTTTTCTTCCTTGTATCAGTGACTCTGATTTGATTGGCATTTTATTAGGATGAGAAGTATTAAAGGAGGAATTATCGCTCAATCACCCGCTTAGCTCCATCCAAGGTATTTTTGAGTAACATTGCCACTGTCATTGGTCCAACACCTCCAGGAACAGGAGTTATCCATCCAGCCACTTTGCTTGCTTCCTTGAAATCAACATCTCCCACAAGCCTATAACCTGACTTCTTAGTTCGATCATCCACAGCATTTGTCCCCACATCGATAACAGCAGCACCGGATTTGATCCAGCTGCCTTGTATCTGAAAATCCAGATTATTAGGGACTTTAGTGAGCAAAATATCAGCATGTCCATCATCCTATGACAAGATGTAACTAAGCACGTGACATTCTATCAAGTAGAATTGACAATCCATTTACCCAAGAAATTTGAAGGAAGATACATAGCCACAAACTCTGCATTGATTAGGACCTAATCATCCCAGTATTTGAATGCTGGTTTTGTAATGTTCTATTTGTAGAAGAAACATATGGTGCAAATTCTCTACATTCAATTACCGGTCACCATCTCATACAGGGTTCTAAAGTCAAGACCATATATAAGGGGGTTCTTCTCAGATAAGATGTCAACCCCGAACATGCGTGTTCTTCACTATCAAATTGGACATAGGACAAAGGAAGTAGTGAAAAAGATGCTTCGTCACATATTACAACAATGATATTATATCACAGGGAAAAAAGGGAAAAAGTTGTACAAAAAATTCTTGATACCATGTTCGCTTGTCCTGCTGCAGCAATAACAATGTCTGCCTCACGAATAATTTTTTCTGGTTCCTTGGTACGTGAATGCACTATAGTGACAGTGGCGTCTTCTTTGAGTAGTAGTAGGGAAACAGGTAATCCAACAATATTGCTTCGTCCTACCACAACTGCCTTCTTGCCCTTTATGCTAATGCCACTACGTGACAGAAGCTCAAGACAGCCCTGCTCAAGAAATAGAGCCTCTCAAAAATGTCCAAATAACGATGCAGTTCACCCATATAAGTATGTTGCATATTATGAAACAAATTATGAAAACTTCTACATCAAACCGTTTAAGTGCTCAAGACCGAAGTATAATTGCCTTAGGGGTGCAAGGAAGGAATAGAGGCTCTCTGCCTTTCATCGCAAGCTTGCCTATATTTAAAGGGTGAAAGCCATCCACATCTTTTTCCAAGCTAATTTCACCCAAAACTTTCTCTTCATTTACATGCTTTGGAAGTGGAAGCTGCACCAGTATACCTGCAACAATAGTGACAATCACAATCTCCAACTTGTCTGTCTGTCTCTCTCTCTCTCTTTTATTATTATTACTTTTTAAAGTTTACTTCCTTAGCATAGATTTGTGGAAAGCAATAATACACTGACAAGAAATCGCAAATCAAAGCTACGACAAGACGAAACACAAGTATATTGGATCTCTTAGTAACAAAATATTTATGAGCTCAATTAGCTTGGTGATGAAACCGAAAGCTGTAAAGGTAACAAGAAGAATAATCTGGTATATAACTAACCAACCATGAACATCTGGATTTGCATTCAGCTCATGGACCTTGCTGATTAATTCGGCTTCGGACACTTGCTCTGGAAGGCCGATGTCAAAGGACTTGATCCCAACCTCAGCACATGCCTTCCTCTTCATACTCACGTAGCTTTGAGAGTCTTTCCTATGTCCCACTAGGACCACGGCCAATCCTGGGACCTGTTTATCACCAAAATTCCACACAAAATCAGGCCGATTTATGCCCTTTTTGTTAAGCTCACCTCTATCTACCTATCCATATAAGATAATCGAATGACCAGATATTAACTTTGGAGGAAAATGTTATCGTTTCAACTTTCAAGCAAGAAAATTTTGCTGAAATTCTTGCTGCCATTTTCTCAAACACTACACAGAAGAAAGAAAGAAAGAAAGAAAGAAAGAAAAAGCGGCAAGTTCGGACCTTGCCGTACTTCTGGGACAGTTGACGGACTTCATCGGCGATTTCGGACCGTATAGTATGAGCTACTGCTTTGCCGTCGATGACGGTTGCCTTGTGATCCGACGACGATGCCATGCTCCAAATCAAAATTTTCAGGCTAGTCTTCCTGCCCACACAAATTTCAGTACTCCAGCTTGGGTTTGACTGGAGATTCCGTTCGCTTTAGGATTTTCAGTCGATAAACGGGCTTGGTTTTTCCAAGGACTTCGCCGAATATTTGCAGACTCAGGCCCGATCGTACATCAAGGCCAGGCCCATTTGTAGAATGTCAAGAACCCAATTTCAGGGGTCCAGGTTACTCATCTATAAGCAATTCGTGCGTCACCTAGAGCTTTTTCCATCCTCTCCTTCAATTTTCTAATTTCAACGAGCAATCTCTCAATTAATCTTCACTTTCGTTTAGTAGCGTATATGTTAAATCACCCCAAAGAAAATTTGGTTATGATCCACGAAAACTGCAGCAGCATCTCCGGTAAAATGAAAGAGGGTCGATCATTTATGACCGTGACATGGAGAATTTCAAAGTAATACTGCTAAAAAGAAATCACACTCGGCTAGCAAACAAAACAGGTAGTATTATCATTATACCGATCCAAGTTCTTTCTTATTGTTGTTCCCAAAATCCTGTGAAGTTGAGAAAGTACATAATAGGTGCAGTTGCATAATAGGTAGTTTTTCGTCATTCACTTTGTGGAACAGCAGACATGGATCAGCCTCAAGTGTGGCTCCAGGAACCCAAGAACATGATGATCCTGATGGAGTCTTCAACACCAGATCGCTTGTTTCGTCTTTCAAGCTCCATGGAAATGTAATTCCAGCCACCCTTTCCCTTGAGAGTTTGATTTCCAGGCATGGCCACCCTAGCGTCCGCATAAACTCTCCTTAGGGTCACCCCCCTGCGGATCACCTTTTTTGCTTCGTCATAATCCATCAAATGCTCCTGATGGTGATGATCGCCAGAGAACTGTTGAAGTTTCATCCTCGATCGACTTCTCTGGTTGCTTGTGATTTGTAAGATATGGTGAAGGGGACTAAGAGAACGCAATCACAAATTTATAGACAGGACAAGAGCATGACCCTTTTTCAGCAAATTGGTGGCCCGTATGCATACTTGCACGTATCCATATTCCATGCACATATGTATAGATTCCTAATTATGTACTTGACAAGGACCAGTTTCGCCGTGAAAGAGCTACATGCACATGAAAATAATAGTCACGCCGATGCTTATACAAGAAAAGACATCTTCTTCTTCTTTTTTTCAGAGATAAAGAATCTGGTTCCTGCAAATGATCCAAAAGAAAAAAAGGAAAGGAATATAGGCACAAGAGCATCTTTCTTGGATCACATAAACTCAACAACCTTTTACAACTTAATTTCAATTTGACCCAAAAATTCAATTTTGTTAGAAACCCTCGGCGAAAGTCACATCCATTTTTTTTTAAATTTTAATAGACTTGAATACAGGAAAAAGAAAAGATAAGCATATAGTTCAAGAAGCACAGAAATCTACTCAATTAACTGTCTTAAAAAAAAAAAAAAAAAAAAAAAAGTCATAGGAATCTACTCAATGGAAAGTCACATCCATTCTTTTTTCTTTTTTTTTTTTCCTCAAGTAAGAGGTTTTGAATCCAAGATATTCTACTTACAATCCCTTCCACCTTACCACTCAACACAGCCCTTCCCTCTCTCTGTCTCTTGTATCAAAGATACCTAGAATCCAATCCATGATTCCACCTAATGAGCTACAGCTGGGGAAAAAAATTAAATATACATGATCCTGTAAGCTACAGCAGCATACTGTAAGACGTCTTTGGAAGCCCTCTCACTTTTCTTTACCAATTCATATATCACCAGGGACACCATAAATCCAGGTAATATGGGGCTAAGAAAAGTATCAAATATCACTGAACTGAAACAGAAGCTCCATTAAACCATTCTGCATTATTTTAGGTGAGGAACAAGAAGATTATAGTTCCAATTATATAGTACATTAAGGATCATTAACGCCTTCCAAATTTCACAAGGTTGAGTTCAACAATAAGAAGTTTATGAAATTTATCTCAATAAATAAATGCAATATCATCACAAACATTTCCTGCATATGATGATGCCTAGAAAAATGGATATAGATGCAACAATAGCACCCTGTCTAGATAGAGCAAATTCTGTCCATGTCAAAGGCCTTGTGACCTGGACCAATACCTTCTGAAAATTTTCATTCAGATCTGCCAGTGATCCAGTGTTATCTATTAGAATATCTGCTTTGGTCCTTTTGAGATCAAGAGACATTTGAGAGTTAATCCTGCTCTTAGAATCTTCTTCTGTGGTTCCATCTCTTGCCATGAGCCGATGGAGCTGAGTCTCGGGATCAACCCAAACAACAACAATAGGATTTGTCCACCTGTCCATCTTGGCTTCGAACAACAAAGGGACATCGAGCACAATAATTTTGCACCCCTTCATCCATAGTTTCAACACTTCCAAGAGAATGCCTGATGAGATGTATGGTGCCAGAAATCTAAATGCATAAATTGCCAAAGTCAAGGTTCACGTAAAGTTCTTCCAAAAGAATCAGCTCATGCACAAGAATCAGAAAGAGGAAACAAATCTAACAAGCTCTTTAGACTGTCAAAAGCTAGAAAAACCAAACATAATTTATATATATATATATATATATGTATGTATGTATGAAAACTTCTCAACTTCACAGCAGACCATTTACAGGAATAATAGGCAGCAACCGAACGAACTAGCAACAGATCATCCAAAATTCAGCCGCTGCAAAGCACATAAACTCTTGGTCCCTGCAAACCCTACCCATTATATCCCAAAATAGTTGGGCAGGGGGGAACTTTCCATGAGTTCAACTCAAAGTGATTCTGTTGTCGTATTTAGATAAGATACAGGCAAAGTCCAACCATACTCAAACAGTTTTAATTGAGCATCAAACTAACAATATTAAAAGCACCACCAAACTTGAAAAAGCTATTCGTTCATGGCTAATGACCAAACATCGGAGTTTTCACTCTACATCAATGTATCATGGCAATAATTACTTCACTAATATCTAAATGCAACTTTTTCCCTTATCTAAGCAAAGCACAAATGAAAAATCCAAAGATAGTTTTTGCATTACCATCAAGGAAGCTGAAGCCTAATCAAAGCTTTAATGTAAAACTAAAGGGGGGGCAGCATTTATCCACAAGCTAACTAGTCGCATCCGGATGTTGGAAGCTTCCATATTCATCAATCAGATACCAGTGCATAAGCACCAAATACATAAATAGAGCATTAATGCATACCCAAGCTAACAGAAGTACTAAAAACAAAACCAAATTCTTTTCTAATGAATAAAGAGTATGTACCTATTAAGAATTTGGCGTTTTTGTGGATCAGAAAATACAATGCGACCTAACTTCGGGCGATCCACCTCTCCGTCAGGAAGCAGGATGTCCTCCCCAAAAGCCGCCACCACCTTTTTCCAACCACCAGTACCTTTTTTCAAAACATCCTGCAAGTTAAAAAAAGCGCTACTGAGAGTTGAAACCAAGTACTCAAGTTTAATTTGGTATGCAGTAAAATTACATCATTAACACTGACTAATGTATATATATATATGAAAGAAATTAAAGAATAGCAGGGTTTTTTTTTTTTTTTTGGTCAAATGTCAACTTGTATATATGAAAAGAATAGCAGTTGAGGTACTAGTAGTTGTAGTTTCTGGGCTGTTTCAATCGGGAAAGAACAAAGAAAAGAATTGACTAGTGATGGAAGAAACAGAGGGTAGGTTAACGAACGGGAACGATTAATAGGAATTGGAAAAGTGGGGCTTACACGAGCGACGACGTCGGCATCGACGACCGGAATACCATGGGCCTTGAAAAGATTGGAGACGGTACTCTTCCCTGATCCAATCCCTCCGGTCAGCCCCACTATCCTCATTCTCGGACCGATTGATTTCTTATTACTACGAGCAGAATCCCAGTACCAGCCTACTGATTCAATAATAATCGGGTGACTATTCAATAATTACATTGGTCCTACATAGTGCTCCGTCATCTTCAACGATAACAACTCACAGCTTATGAATTATTTGTTTGGGGGGAACCATGACGTTGCTAAGCCGAGAGTAATCTGCCTCTGAGGTCCTGCTAGTAGTGGAAAGGGGGTAGTGGGCAGCGTCGCTAGTCATCTAATAAGGGTAATGCAATTGGTCGAGCTAACAAACAGCGCATCTGGTGTAGTGGTATCATAGTACCCTCCCACGGTACTGACCGGGGTTCGATTCCCCGGATGCGCATTCTTTCTTTTTCCTACGTACTTTTTATCTTATGTGCGATCTTCGTGTTGTTCTTCTGTGAATTTCAGTCATATGCAGTAACGCCTCCTGTGTACAATCGTTCACCAGTCACGACGACCATGATCGAATGCGAACCAGAAATCAGCAAAACCAACAACAAGAAAGATGGTGGGAAAGTTTCGAAACTCCACCAGTATTTCGAGCAAGATAGTCCAGCTCCTAGGAACTAATTGCAACTCACCCGCCCATGTCTACCAAATTCAGGCTCAGCTTATCATCCAAAACCTCTATACAAACACCACTCTTGCTTCCCATTTCATCTCTGCCTGCCGATCATTAGGCCTTTCACAGGCAGCTTTCCTCCTCTATACTCTTAATCCCCAAAAGCCCCAAACTTTCATTTGCAACCAGCTTCTTAGAGCCTTTTCTCATTCTGATGCCCATCACTATTCTATTTCCTTATACTCCCACATGCATAAAAATCTCATCTTCCCTAATAACTATACCTTCCCTTTTATCCTCAAATCTCTGTCAGACCTCAGGAGCCTCAAACAAGGCAAATGCATACATGCCCAGATCGTTAAGTTGGGTCCCCTCAATGATATTTATGTTCAGAATTCGCTACTGAACTTGTACGCGTCCTGCGGGGACATGGTGTCATCTGGCTACGTGTTCGATGAAATGCCTCACAAAGACGTGGTTACTTGGACCGTAGTCATCACTGGGTATCGAGAATGTAGCATGTTTAAAGATGCACTAATTGCGTTTGAGCAAATGCAGAATGCAGGTGTGGAACCCAATCAGGTGACGATGGTGAACGCGCTGGCTGCCTGTGCGAGTTTTGGGGCTCTTGACATGGGGGTGTGGATACACGAGTTTATAAAGAGGAAAGGGTGGACACTGGATGTCATTCTGGGTACTGCTTTGATTAATATGTACGGAAAGTGTGGTAGAATTGAAGAAGGTCTAAAGGTTTTCAAAAGCATGGAAGAGAAGAATGTTTTCACGTGGAATGCCCTGATTAAAGGGTTCGCTTTAGCTGAAAATGGTCAGGAGGCAGTTATGTGGTTCTCTGAGATGGAGCGAGAAGGAGCTAATAAGCCTAATGAGGTGACCTTGATTGCAGTGCTTTGTGCCTGTGTTCATTCTGGATTGGTAAAATGGGGGGAAGAAATTTTTTCCTCTTTACTGCATCAGAAATATGGATTTTCACCTGGTGTCAAACACTATGCCTGTATGATTGATCTATTAGCACGTGATGGACGTTTAGAGGATGCTCTAAGGATCATTGACAAACTGCCTTTTCAGTCTACCAAGACTATTTGGGGAGCCTTCTTTTCTGGATGTAGAGTACATGGGAACTTAGAATTAAGTGAAGTTGCAGCTAGGAAATTAGTGGACCTGGAGCCAGAAATTTGTGCTTACTATGTAGTCCTGTCTAATCTTTATGCAGAAATGGGAAGATGGGATGATGTGGAAGAAATTCGAAGATTGATGAAAAACAAGGAATTTAGGAAGGATTCTGGCTATAGTTCTATTGAACTTGAATATCTGGAAGATGTCTCCAAATGGTTAGATTAGAAAAAACAATTGTCTCCATTTTCACACCAAGTAAGCCAAAGGTAGAGCAGTGTCCAAGAATATCTTGAATTGCTTTGAGCATAGCCACCAAAACGCAATTGCTCTTCGCCTATTTATCCAGAGATGAACTTTTGGCATAAGTTTCCAGTCGAAATTAATCATAAATTATTGTTCTGGCAGGCTTCTGCTCAAGCTAAAGATGTAACTAAAGGCTGATGCAAATCAATCAGGTTTGATGTGTGAAGGATCGTTCTTTGGTCATGAACTATGTGGGCTATCTTTGCAGCTGGGAACATGATATTATGCTTGTCGCAGTGGTGGATACAGGTATTTTTCGTTCCCTGAATTATTTGTTTTTATCTATGGTACTTCAGGAACTGAAGTCTCTCTGCCTTGCAATTTTTGTATTGCTGGCAAAACAGCATTCGCAATTTCAGTCGACCTTCTGGAGCCTAATTGATGTAGTGGATTCTGCCATCAATTAGAGGAGGAGGTTGGTGAAGAACAATTAGTTGGGAAGGTATCTTCTGCTTTTGTTTACTTCAGGAAGTCATGTCAAACTTGCTTACGTTGAGGCAAAGGAAAGTTTCTTGCTACCGTATGAACGTGAAGAAACTGGAGCAAAAGTTGTCTGGCTCTCACTCTCAGTGAAGGGGCAGAGAAAACATTTCTTGATTGCCGCCATGATCACAGAAAATGCAGATTGATCAATTCTCTTGTTCCTTTGGAAGGTAGGTGCTATGGGAAGAGATGATCACTTCGACATGTCAATTTTCTTTTTTCACCTCTTCCTAGGACAAGGAAAAAATCGTCCCGCATGTCAGTTTCGCTTAATCAATCTTTCTTTCTTTCCACACGAGGACGAGGATGGATTTTGGACAGAAGCGAGTAAAAATGCCCCAAAAAGAAATGCTAGGTACTACAATTAACGCAGTCTACAATAGTCATCATCAATCCGTGGTCGAGAAAAGACACTACTAAGAGTGTGTTCTTAGACCACCTCAAGCAATCAACTACCTTGAGACTTCTAGAACTGCACTGCGCTCCCTCCAGAACCGAAGTTATTGACAAAGGGATTCTCATTTTTATGGACAATAGAGAGGCGTCCAATTAAGCAAGTCAGTTTTTGATTGGCGTGGATCCTATATACTACTAGAGATTTTTTTTATTTCTGCGTCCGATGAAGTGGGTCAACGGACGCTATTGACCCTCCTCTCACACTCCAAAAGTTTCCACACACATCCGGAACACCGGTACAAACACAAAACACAGAAAGACAGACACCCGGGAAGACAGAGCCGGCCGGCCCGACAGATGATCTGAATCAAAAAACAAAACAAAAGGATTAAATTAAGTGGGATGCTGCTTTTGCAGGGCCAGGACCTTGGCCCAAGCCGGCCTGGCCAAGATATCAGCGCACCAGGCACTCACGTGGGGCCGTGCATCGAACACTTTCCTGGCGGTCGTACCCATCAAGTAGTTGATAGCAGGGAGATGGTTGAGATCCGCCAGGGTAAAGCAGTCTCCGGCCAAGTACTTCGACTGCCCCAACCGAGCCTCGTACACATCAAGAACCTCACCCAGCTTCCCCTCGTGCTCTGCCACCGCCGCATCGTCGGTGTTCATGCCCAGGAGGGGCTTTATGGCCAGCTCGAACACCAGCTTTGAAGATGGAGGGTCAAATTTCTGAGCCTCCACTTCCATCCACACGTACACCGGCCCCATCCTCTTTGCATCTTGTACGAACGTCAGTTGTTGGTTCCCTTTGGCCGCGTAAGCCTGAGCGATGTATTGGTTTATAGCCCTTGACTCTGCATTTCAATTTTTTCTTTCTTTTTTTAAAAAAAGGAATCTATACTGCATACACGGTCACGAAATTCTTTTTCTTTTTTCTTTTTTTTTGGAAGAAAAATCGAAAGGAAAACATATATACTCCACTAGTACTTACCGAAGAGCTTCAAGTCCCCATCTTCAAATCCAGGTACTTGACCAAATGGCTGTTTATCGGGGACAGAGGGGAGAAAAAAACATATTAGAGGGGCCACAATCAACCAAAAAAAGGAAAAGCATATACATATAAATTAGTATCCGAGGCTAATAGATATTACTGCTAGAAACATATCTATAGTAAGCTGACGTTCTTACATTGAGGGCGAGGAAGGATTCCTTTTTGTGCTCTCCTGCTCGCATGTTAATTTCTACATATTCAGATTCCAAGTCTTTCTCGTTAAGACATGCAAATACACGCAATACTGCTGGGGAGAAAACACTACCGTGGACCTTGATTGCCATGGATGGATGGATATAATCAAATAGTTTGGCTTCGCAATTCCTAGTTTTCTTCAGGGATCTCTGGTTGAGCAAACAGGTAGGATGATGGCCCTTTTATAGTAGTTCTAGCAGTGGTTGGTCAGAGGAGGGTTGGTTCGTGGGAATGCCCATTTTTTTCTGGAATGATCTATTTTTGACGGTGATATTTTGTACAATAAATTGGATTGAAGGGATAATTCCAAAGCCTACCTCGAGGTTTCCAGCAATTGCAAAGAGCTCCCCTCAAGTCAAGTTTTAAAAATTATATCTACCTCTCTTACTTTTAAGATTTGTGTAACAATATAGGCTCCAACAGCCATGCTTTTTTATAAACATTCTAAAACACCCTTCTTCTGAAAAACAAAAATAAAGTTTTTTAATCTTTAACTTCTTGTGCGTGGCAAATCCAACTAAGCAAACAAATACCAACAACTCCAATTTATCTCAAAGTTCACTACTTGCTAATTCTCATCTAGTGCAACTTGTTATCACAATCAATACCAACACCACGAAAACTCTCCTATATCCACAAGAATGTAATATATCGTTATTCCAACATTCTTAGAAATAAAGACAAAATTCTATCTTTATAATAAACCGCACTCAATGGGTGGAAATAAAATAGAGAAACAAATTGAGTTTTTTATATCTTGAACTTTTTGTCTTGCAAACATGACGATCATTTCTTCATCTTTTCAACTATCATTTTCTTTTTTTTTTCCTCGTGTCAATGCCACCTTTTTCATCTTCCTCTAGTTTGACAGTAAAATACACTATTTGCACCTAGTTAATTTGACAACTTCATTTGGCTAACATTTATAAAGAGTAAAAATATTGAAAAAAAAATGGGAGACAGGGTCTAAACTTTTTATAGTAAAATAGGAAAACAATAAATGCGTATAAAACTTTGAAAATGATAGAAAATTGATAGATGTATGGTTGATAATAATAGAATGCGATATTTGATGTAAAAAAAAACGATGATAGGAGGAAAGAGGAGGGGAGATAGGGAGAGATGAAAATTGTAAAAAAAAAGTGATTTTTATTTTTTGAGATTAGGAGATGGCAAGTAGGATAATAAAAAGTATTTCTTCTACAGTTTTGAATGTCTCCTTATAAATTAACTATTAAGTAGAGGACATTTTAGTCATTTGATAGGACTAAGAGAGGTCAATATGTAATTTTCGAAACCTGAGGGCAATTGAATGTAATTGTTAAAAATTTTAAGGAGGTATCTGGAAACATCCCTAAATTAAAAGGTCGGGCGCGACACATGGTCATCGATCGATGAAAATTCACGCGGAGACCTCTGAAAAAAATGTTGCCTACGCTGCAGACTATCACGTGGTGGATCCACTGATACTTGGCTCACCATCCATTTCTTTTAGATGATGATAATGGTGCACTCTCACATCCACAACCTACTCATACCTACGGCACATGCTAAAATTTTCTATTTCTGGGCCCATATGGCCATATTCAGTCTTCGGCTTCAGCAGTTGCTTTCTGTACTAATTTAATCTACAAAATGCGCGCGCACCCATCTCGGAGTCTCATTCAACAAACAATCTAATGTAAATTATCAGATCGTGAAAATGAATCAATCTGATACGTGTAATTGACCAACTCGGCCAGCAACCAACCATCTATTCTCGTCCATACCAAACCAAACCAAATTTACTTAGTACCGTACTGGTACCTCCTCTTTTTTTTTGGGTTGGGTGTTTTTTTGATGGGGTAGGAATACTGTACTATGGTACTACGTTCTGAAAACGCCCGAGGGCGCCTTATTATTTGCGTGGATTATGAAATACAACTCGCCCCCCCGGCAACTTCTGCATCTCTAACGTTGAGTGAACAAAATGTAAATATGTAATGCACTATTTTTAATGCATCAATTTTTTTTAGATGTGATGATGTTTAGCAACTACGTTGACTATAATTCACAGGATATACACTTGGATATTTACAACACCTCCCCCATGTATTAGTCAAAAGAACAGAATACTGCCCCGGAAAAAAATAGATAATTATGGATATATTGCCATGAAAGTTGCATATTCCCAGAACATCCATTAGAAAGATTATCCAGGCTTGAGAAAATTGTGATATTCCAACTGAGTCATTTCTCCGCCAGTTACCGGGTCAAACTTGCATCTATAAAAGCTGCATACAATGTAAAGACAACATCGTTAACTCCAAACAAATTGCAAGGACCCAAAATGCAAAGGCAAACCCGTGCATGTGAGCTTGACCATGTCAACACTACGTAGCAAAAATATAACCTGTTTTGCGATTTTGTAATGTGCAGCTTATTATATCAAGATCAAGTGCAAATTTTGGAAGCAGACACAGGCAAACAAATCTCTTCTAGTGTTGTTCGTGCCTATAGTCCAGATGCTTTTATAGTTAAAGGTATCAGCTTTGACTTACCTTCCATCCAATCCAAGTATTACCACTGTATTTTTTTGATGACCAAAGGCAACAACATATTGAGATGGTTCAAGCAAACGAAATTGGGCCACAGACCATTCTGAGCTGAAATACTTGGGTAAAACACCTGCACAGACACACACATTATATATCTCTCACTCAATGAACCAAATTAGGACCCAAGTGCAAGAAATTAGCTTGGGAATTATTCTCATTCTCTGGCCCATCCAAAAACAGTAAACGCCTAACCAAGCCATTTACTTATTAAGAGAAGGGAAATTATTTAGGGATGCTGTCCTAAACAGGTCTGATATCAAACAAATCTAATAAGAACAATTTCAAACTTCCCAAAACATTTTCAACACCACATGCAGCAAGAGAATTGTAAGTAACCTGAGTGGAAGAGTGACGAGAAGGCACAAGGTAGGAGGACATGAGAAAAGTATATCACCAGAATAATCCATACAAGCACATTGATGAGTTAAACCAACCTAAGTTCAATTTTGATTTTTTTTTTCATTTTTTTCCTTTGCTCAGAGTTAATGTAAATGGTTGCCCAATTGAGAATCTTGTTCCAGAAACAGGTCCACCGGCCAATTGAGTATCTTGTTCCAGAAACTCATAGATTCTATTCACGTCTGCCCCCTGTAACAAATGCCACGAGATTGGTCCACTGGCAAACATTCTCAAGCTTTTCCTTAAAACTCTTTAGATTAACCACGTTTACTACTCACTGACCGCAGGGTCAATAGAATAAAGCCTAAGATAACGGTGAAGGGCAAAATTGATCAGTGACAGGATGAGATTCTGATTATTAACACCAAGAACAGCAGCTGCAGCACAGTCTAGGCAGAAATCAGTTGCGCAAAACTAGGTGCCTCCAGTATTTGGCAGGCAAAGTTTCATTAATCCATTGCATAACTTGTAGTTCCTTCCCACATATTCCTCTCATTCACACCAAGTGCAGATCGATAATTAATAAGCAATACATGTCAGACATGCAATCTTTTCCTTACCACGCGAGTAAACACAAAAATTCCACGAAGCAATGCAACAAGATAGAAATCCTGACTTATGGCACTATTTGCAAGTAGGTTTCCATTGTGTTCAAAACCACCCCTTATTTCACCGGTTCATCCAATGGAGTCCCAGATGCATCAGAAGCAAAATTTAGTAATCTCCTATAATTAGCTGACATAGTCATATAACTATAGGGAAAATTTTTTTTTTTGGGTAGTTTTTGTGTGTGTGTGTGGGGGGGGGGGGGGGGGGAATTTCTATGCATCAGACTTTAAATTTACCTAAACACAGTAAAAGAAAAAACAAGCAAATAAATCACCGAAAAAAAAGCACCGCACCTTTCATGAAGGACAGCGATGAGCCTGATGTCGTTCTAGCAAGATCAGATTCTGGTGGGCTTGAATTTTCGCTTCTCAAGTTCCCCAATGTGCTCTTAAGGCTAAAGACATGAACAGTGCCCTTGTCACTTGAAACTGCGAGCCATTGAGCAGAGGAAGAAAAAGAAAGGCAATAAATTTCTGCTCTATCTGCACCTCTCCTTACCTGCAGCAGCACGTCCTAAGAGTCATTACTAGATAAACAGCGCTTAACAGATCTCAGCACAAATGCATTTGAAGTGACGTATTCTGCCTCTGACTGAATGCACCATTGACACTATAAGTTTGAAGCATATAAATGTTTCCTCGACAAAATAAAAGTCAAACAAATGTTGCTAAAGCTATTACGAAACCAATCTCACAAGAATCAACCTAAGAAACAGAATGGCACAAAAATTGAAACATGCAGAAATAAATACATAAGGGAGGAACGACTGTTGGAAAAGCATTGTACCTCCTGCAACAGAGTACCATCATGCGTATTAAATATACGAACCAAAGTCCCTTTAGTGCTAGCAGTAGCCAGCAACTGCCCATCCTGGGAAAGCGTAAAGCACGCAATCCTCGAATCATGAGCCAGAATAAACTTGCTAGTCCTCTCGGACGCGTAATGCTCAACCCTAAGCTGACCCTTCTGGAGGCCCGGACAAACAAGTACAAAGGATCCGGAGGCCTGCGACACCGCACACAGTCCCTTAGGGTTCGCAATGGTCTCAATTTGATGCAACAGTTTCAAATCGGCAAAATTGTAGACAAAAATCTTGTGCTCCAGCACCACCACAATACGGTCCCTTCGGAGCCTCACCCCTCGGACCTCCGATCTAAAAGAGAGCTCGCCGATGCACCTGCTCTGGTGATCATCCCAGATCATGACCTTATTCAGAGGATACTGCGGGTTATCCTTGCCGCCCACTAACGCGAGTATATTGCAGCGGAATAGCATCTCCACCGAACCAATTCCTCCAGCGTTGTCAAAGTCCCGTCGAAATATCTCGCGGAAGGGGTCGCAGTTGTAGATTCGGAAGCCGCGGCTTGTGCCGGTGGCGAAACAGCCGTAATCTTGATTAAACGAGACGTGGAGCAGCGCGGCAGGTGATCGATCCATGGAGCTATTAGAGTTAGGGCTGCCGTCGGTGCTAGGGCTCATATTTGGCATGATCGGCTTGTTAGAATGCGGGGAACGGTCGTCCTCTTCATCGGTTTCAGGGGGGTCGATCTGCTGCTGCTGTTGCTCCAAATAAGGTTGAAGCATTGGGGACAGGAATTTGGAATTAGGGTTAGAGTTTGTAAAAGCAGTAGAAGAAAGGCTTGAGAGAGTAGCCATGGATAAAAGACATAAAATAACTTCGGAAATTCTTCGGGGACGGCGGTGTGGATAAGAAGGCTTGCTTGATTTGATTGGAATGTGCTGTGATACTTTTTGCCAAATTACCAAATCAGTCTCATGTGCCAGACTCGAATCTTCTATTCTTTTAGATTTCTTGAGGCTGCAGCCGTAATTTGGTGACAAGTAGTAGTGTGTTGTTGTGCTTTGTGGTTTTGTCTGAGTTAGGGTGTAAAAAACACATTAAAATTTCCTTAATTGTAGCGTATCAATTTCTAGGTGTTTATTCGTTAATTACAGGACACGTTAACACGTGTCTAAGACGTTCTTGCTTTTCGGAGAGGACTACGTGTGAGCTATGACATCTGCCTTGACTTTACCCGTGCAACAAAGTAACCTTTTGAATTGGTTCTCGCGAAGCCTATTCTAAGAGGGAGGGCACGATTGGGCTTATTGGGGAACCGAAAACCAACAGTGAGTGTGTTTGGATGGTATGTTATTTGAAATATTTTTACTGTATTACTTTTTGTGATGTGATGTACGTGAAATAAAAAGATAATTGGGAAGATAAAAAGGTGTATTGAAAATTGTAATGGCGATGATGTCAGCAAATATATTTGGCCAAATAATTAGCTGTCCAAACACACTCAGTGTTACTTGGACTGCTTTGCATGGCTATAGTCTTTAGGATTTGATGGGATAAGAGGTTACGGTTTAAATTTTGCCTCTCATTGTATGTGTTCTGATAGTTTAAGAGGAAAATGATCGATTTCATCCTTTATATTTCACAAAAATATTCTTTTCGTCCTTCACTTTTAAAATGAAGCAATTTTGACTTTGACATTTAAAACCTAAAATTATTACATCCCTGAACCCAAATTTCAATCTGAATCAAACCACCAATCAACCTGATTACAAATTTTTGGGGTATAATTGATAGATCATTTAGTTAACTCAACTTGATATTCATGTAAAATTTAATGAACCTAAAAAGAAAAAAGAAAAAATTATAATATAAAAAAGAAAGATTAATCTTTTTTATATTATCATTGTATACACTGACGGTTTTATGTACCGCCATATCATTTTAATTTTAATTTAAACACCAAATTTTATATTTATGATATACATCTAGATTCGCAAGCAGGTATACTAACGGTGTATGAAAAGATTTATCAAAAAGAAAACTCTACTATTTCAAGACAAATAATGGCCTTTTATGTTATAATTTTTATTTTTTTGGTTTAATAAATGTCATGTAAATACGATGAAATTGATCGAATAATCTATCAATTCTATTTTCGAAATTTATTACTGGATTATTGGATGGTTTGATTCAGATTGAAAATTATGTTCAGGGATGTAATAACTTTAATTTTTAAATGTTAGGGACGAATTTGTTTCATTTTAAATGTGAGGGACGAAAAAAATATTTTTGCGAAATATGAGGAATGAAACAGGTCATTTCCCTATTTTAAGTGGCTTAAGTTCATAAGGATCCATAGTGCATCAATTTGATCCGATGATGATTCAATTTTCATCGATTTTTCAATAGATTCAGTTGGGTTATTTCCTGTATAATAGATTAAAGTATAAATAAATATATGTGTATGATAGAAAGGTAACGATTGACAAAAAAAAAAAAAAAGAAGCTCTCGCGAACCAACGCCCATTAAGTAAAGCAGATTTGGGGCAAAAATGGTTCAGATTTAGCTAAAAATATATATATATAAAGTCTAAATTTAATCTTATACATCGTTTTTTCACATCATTTATGATATTTAAAAAATTTTATTCTATAGTTATACATTCTACAAAATTGAGTTATATCATATGCAAAATGCATAAAATCGATCAAATGATTTCTCTGCTGATCGTGCCCCAAATTCAAGTGAAGCAGTCGCATGTCTAATTTAAATTTAAAGGTGTACCCGTCGTTTGATTTAGAAGTGCAGATCCTATTCTTGTGTACTTGGGTAAGGGCCAAAATGGCCCACAATTGCATTTACATATTTTAAGGGCAAGAGACCGGAACAGAAAATCGTTCGGACTGATTTTATACAAAATGCACAAAATATAACTTTATATGCACACGATATAATTCACTTTCAATAACATATAATTATAAAAATAAAATTTTATGAGTCCTTTATATGGTATGAAAAACGATGTACAAGATGTAATTTGGACTTTACTTTTTTTTTTTGCCAAATCTTGGTCATGAACTTTCAGGAATAGTTGCTTGAATTTATTGGATCAAGGAATGTTTTTTTAAGAGATAATTGCAGAAACCTCCAATAAGGTTTCTAATAATTTCACTAGTCTTCCCTAAGTTTGTAAAATTACATAAACATCCTTTGAGATTAAAGTTTTGATAATAAAAAGTTAGTCCAATTTAAAAAAGTAATATTAAAAAATACTTAAAAAAGAGAAATAAAACTTTTATTCCATAAATTTCCGTATGCATGTATATAAGTCGTATTTGTAAAAGAATAAAAATAATTAATACACACATTTAACTATTGAAAAAGTTCACATTTAATAAATTAAACAATATTTGACAAAAAAAAACACAATTAAGCAACAAAACTATAATAATGATTACAAGATTCAACAAAACATATACTAATCATCTTTTTTTAACACCACATGTTTGCTATAATTTTTATAATTTTAAACAGAAAAATTTTCGAATTTTACATTTCTTTTTTTTTTTCCCTCAAATCGAGTGTGGCTTACATGGTACGCGACACTTGCTCTCTCTATAAATCCAGGTCAGCGTCCAATGGCAACCTTGCCCTTTGTCGCGCCGTTTCGCCAAAGGCATATTCCTGAAAGATTGCATGTCAGAGCACCTACTCCCCATTTGGCCCGCCACCGCCACAGCCCAAGGCGCGCAATTTTGAATTTTTCTCCAAAATCCGCTCACAGCATAGAGGAAAGAAAAAAGAAACAAATATAAGAGGGAAACAGAAAATCTGGCCATAATGGGAAAATCACTAGTACAGGCTACAGATTAGAGATACAGGGGGAGAAGAGGGGTAGAGAGAGTCCAGTGGATGAAGAGGAAATCGCAAAGGATTCAGAAGAAAGGCAAGACGAAAATGAAGGGTTCATTGGCGAGGCACATAACGGTTCAGCTGGGACAAGTAGCTTTAATGCCCCTTCAGCAGCAGCAGGATTCCTCTCCATTCCAGAACCTTCTCGATACCGATTCCGATAAACAACACTTTCCCTCTACTTCTTCATTGGATTTCGACGCCGCCGATGCCAATATCACTGATGAAAAAGATTTCATTCTCAGCCAGGATTTCTTTTGGTTGGTATTTCTCCGTATTACTTGCCACACTATGTTGCATTCACTTTTGGTAAGTACCCTAGTTATTTTTTACTTGACAGTTGTTTATTTATTGCTTTTTTTTTATTCTGGGGCTGTAGCACTCCCGACTACATTACACCAGATGCTCCGGCTGTTCTGAGCTCTTTAGATTGCAAAAATGAGGTAAGCACCAAATCAGAGGGTAATTTTGTTGACCTGTTATTGGATTAGTGAAATTTGTTAAAACTCCAGCTTCAACAACTGTTTTACCATTGCTTTTGTTGACTATTACTAGGAACCTGTCCCGTGTCCCAAGTCACCGGAGAAAATTAAAACTGTTAGAAGCAAACGGCAGAGACGGGGTAAAGATGAATCACTGTTTCTTGCGCTTTGTTTCTTAGTTTAACCTGTAAACTGAAATTGTTTTAATTGGTCTACCTGATACTAATTAGGTAATGACATCCTTATTTTCTGTCTGCAATGAGCGTTGGCTCGATTCGCTTTTGTTTTTTTTGGGGGGGGGGTGGTGCCAAGTTTTGATGCACATGGATTATTCCTATTAATCTGGGCTGGTTGGTTACCTAGTTGGAAGCTCGGCTACCTCAACTTTCTTTCTTTAATGTTACTCGTATATTGTGTTTTCCAAATTTCTGTTTGCGTACCTCAGCTATTTATTTTCCTTGACACTCAAAAATTGAATGCAGTGCTGCCAGAAGTCGTGCAACAAATTCCAAATTGAATGAAAGACATTAGGATTCCTCGCTTAGCATCTGGTTAACTCCTTTTATACATACATCCAGAGCTAAAATGTTGACCTCGTCAGCTTATCAAGCTGTGTGGAAAACAGAGTGAAACAAACAATGAAAAGGAACAGCTTGCATTTTCCTCAAGGCCGTATTTGGCATGTGCATTACCCTAAGTAATGTAGTGATTTACTGCGAAGAGCATCTCTATTACGATGGTTGCTTAGCAAAGCAGCATCTGGAGTGAGCAACTTTTTATTGCTTTAATATGCCAAAAGCTGCCATTCTTGCGTTACCCTATTCCCAATTCTCCTTTTGTAACAATTGACCAGGTTCCCTAAATCAACATCTCCTCTTTTAATTTTGTTTCCTTGATTTTCATACTTAAGTTAGCAGATGGTTGTACTTCTTGTGATGGATGTAGTAGTCAGTTGCAGTTAGATTGTTGATGTACTAGCATTGTTATTATAGCTTATTGTTGCCTGTAACTTGATTACTAATGGGTCATAATCAATTTTTCCCTTGAGCTTCTATTGGTTTTCATAAATAAATAAATCAACTTTCATAAGTTTCCCATCTTCTGCTTCTAGCATCCCTTTTTACTTGTATGATCATGGTCTGATCTCAAACACATCTTAGCAGATGGAATTTCAGAGACCTCTTTTAATTTCGGCATTTCTGCCCTTCAAGAAATGTCAGAACTTGTAGTGGACAATTCCACAAGCAATGAGATTCAGACCGCCAAACCACACGAGCCAGGAGAGATTCAAAGATATGTTTCACAGTCTGCAGTCGCTTTAAGGTGTCGAGTGATGCCTCCTCCCTGCATAAAGAACCCATACCTCAAGGATGCTTCTATATTAGAAATTGACCCTTTCAACAACCAGCGATCTAAATGTGCAGGTTACTTCACGTTTTCTTTCAAAAACATAATCAGTTAAACTCTGGTTCAGAGGAATAACATTTTCTTTTTCTGGTTGCCTATATTTTGTCTTAGTTTGAATTATATTAGCTGAATTAT